TCATAGTTGTTTGTAATGTTGTTAGAAAAATGTTTTTCTTCTATTAATTGAAAATGTTCCTCTTCAAAGCATTTTACCAAAGAAGATAGTCAAATAATCAATAAACATATAAAAAAGTATTAAAGTTAATTACTTGTCAGGGAAATGCAAATTAAAACCATAAGTATCTCTACCATCCACCAGAATGGCTAAAATGAAAAATCAAAACAGACACGTCAAGCATAGACAATGACATGTAGCAACGGGAGTATATATATTGGAAATGGGCAAATTGGTAAAACTACTTTGAAAAACTATTTGGCAATACCTACTAAGGCTGGACAAATGTATATCCATATAACCCAACAATTACTTTCCCAGGTATTTCCCCAACAGAAAGGCATTATGTGCTTACCAAAACACATGTATAAGAATGTTCAAAGCAAAACTATTTAAAATAGCTCCAAACATGTTTACAAGTCTGAGGCAATATATGTACAGTTTCCTATTTTACTTTTTTCATTGATAGTGAGCATTTCCCTATGTCATTATCTTTAAATATGATTTCAATGGTTATGTAATATTACATAATATGGATAAATCATACTTCGTTAGCCATTTCCTGTTAAGATGTTTTAAGATACTTTTAAATTTTTGCTGTTATTACTAAATAATATTATAATAAGCATTCTGATATATAAGGCTTTATTTCCATCTCTAATTACACTCAGGGTAAATTCTTTGAAAAGGATTTAGCGGGTCAAAGGTGTGCTTTTTCCGAAAGGCTTGTGCCAATTTACACTCCAATTGTAGTACAATAAAAGCAGGCATTTAGCAGAACTCCCTCCATCATGGGTTTTCCTTTTAAACAAAAGGCTGCCAAAGTGACAGGTAAAACATCATTTTGTTTATCATTACTAGGGAAATCAAACATTTTTAAATGCTTATTTCATTTGCTTATCTTTTGAACACTCTTATCACATCTTGTCCAGTTTTCTAATGGAGAGTTAACTTGTTTCTTATCTGTTAAAAATTGATAGTGTAAGGATAATTATCCCTGTGACACACATGGTACAAATATATTCTTCAAGATTTTATTTTTATTTTATTTATGATAGTTTTTTTTTTTTTTTTTTTTTTTTTAAAGACAGATTCTCACTCTGTTGCCTAGGCTGGAGTGCAGCTGCGTGATCTCGGCTCACTGCAACCTTCAACTCCCACGTTCAAGCCATTCTCCTGCCTCAGCCTCCCAAGTAGTTGGGATTACAGGTATGCACCACTACGCCCGGTTGATTTTTGTACTTTTAGCAGAGATAGGTACTTTTACCATGTTGGCCAGGATGATCTAAAATTCCTGACCTCAGGTGATCTGCTGGCCTCAGACTCCCAAAGTACTGGGATTACAGGTGTGAGCCACTGTATCCAGCCTGTTTATGATGTTTGATTCTAAATTTCTCTAACCAAGCTTTCTCTTTGTACTCAAACATTTCTTTCTGATAGAGTAGAGTATATCATGTTTCTCTTCTGCTCTCCTCTAACACTACATCACCAATCTGAAGCAATGATACTACTCTTAAATCTTATTCGTAATGCAAATGAAAGTAAGTCTGGTTTTGGCATTTGTAAGCTCTGCACAACTATGCATAAGTTCTTAAAATGAGAAGAAAGAAGACATATGTAACAGGAAACCTATGTGCCTGAGGAAATTTTTGAGGTGTTGTACAAAATGGAAAGTTGTAAAAATGGAAAGACTACATGTAATAAGAACAAACTTTGTCTCAAACATTATGTCATCATTTCACTTCTGAGTACCTCATGTATCTTTTATTCAGTTATGTTTCCTTTTAGTCTCTGTTAAAGGAATCTTACCTAGTTTTAGTCCTTTGAGCTTCTTCAAAATTACCTCCTTAAAACCATAAAAGCTACACAGGTTTTTATTTCTAGCTTTTCACAAATGATGACTTAGTTGCATTCTTCCAAACTTTTGTTGTACTCTCAATTAGTTCTGTTTAGCAAAATTAGGTTCTATAAAACAATTTCTCGTTTTCTCTACTCCCCCAGTCAACAGGGCAAATCAATCATTTACTTGACTCTCTTCTTTTTAGAATAAAGAACACATGAATTCATGTCTATACAAAGTATTCTATGGTATCACTTGTTTCTCCGTCCGCTCTTCAATTAAATACTCCATTTTTGTAATAGGTTGTGTGAATTTACAGCAGATAGGCATTTTTTTCTTGATATTCAGTGTCATTCTATGTCTCTTCAATTGGTTTGCTTCTCTAGAATAACTTAATCTTCTGTTTGGGGTTCTTTTATGAGTTTTGTTCCAATAAGGCCAGATGACTACCTGTATTAAGTTGCACTTATTTTCTTATATTAAAGTCTCTTAAAATTTTGCTTAGTTTATTCCCTATATTCTTAACTTTAGAATATAAATAACTGAGGTCACAAGTAATGTCCTTGATCACATTATTCTTCCCAGTATTTACTACTACATTATCATGGGCACCTTGTCAACTGCCTTATATCATCTATTTTATGTGATAACCTCCATCATATCCAGTTTTAGAATTTCACTAATATTTTTCTGTCTTCTCCAACATTTTCTGAATAAAATCTTGATCTGATCAAGTTACCAGGTGAATAAATTCTTTTAATTCCTGTGAGATGAAGCACAGAAATCTATTATTCAAGGAATCTCGGGTCACTCTCCAGAAAATAAAATCCTGAATAATGTTGTCTGATAATCAGTTACCATTTTTCATATTATTTCTCTTCTAAGGTCCCAATCTTCAACTAGAACCAGGGATATAGGATTAAGGTATAATTATCATCTATTATAACATCAATATGGGAGCCAAATTCTACGTTTCGTTTTTCTATGAGTTTCCTATGTCTTTGTTCACTTAACAGATAAGAAAAATCTGTGGGTCCATTTGTTGATCCATACCACCTATAAAGTATGCTATCGATCTCAAAATAAATTCTATACCATACGTAACTTGTGGTAGTATTTTCCAGTTTTAGAGGTTTTCATTGATAATTTTCCCCAAACGTAAGAGATTTACAAAAGGGTGCCACTAGTGTTAGGAAGTCTGTGGTCCTTACTATATCCTATATAGTACAGCCGTACATAAACATGCTGTCGTCATTCGAATACAAACTTAAATAATTATGGCTGAAATAAAAGTACCTACAGTTTAGATTAAAATTCCAGTATAAACTTGGAATAAATCAGAAAAATGTCTTTTGTAAAATTTAATGTTTATTAATGTAGGTCTTAGAAAGTTAAAAGATATTGGCTATATGCTTAATGATCAATGAATTACAAAGAAGTTTTCAAAATGTTTAATAATCTAAATAGAAAGAATCATTTAGAAAACATTAGATTAAAAGATTACTTCTATGAGCACTATAACCTAAAGTTACTCAGTAATGTTTGGTAAATTTTCATAGTTAAGCAATTTGAAAACACACAAATTAAAAATTTTGTTTGCTAAAGTGGCTTCTTGCTTCATTCATTCATTCCAATGTTTATTGAATGTCTTCTACATACTAGACCCTGTGTGAAGCTTTATATGAAGATTAAGTAACTAGCTAGAAAATTAAACAACAGCAGCAACAAAAACCAAAAACAAAGGCAACATCTTAGCTAAAGGAAAAACAAAATAGTTCTTATACTCTTGTGGTAACTTACAACTTTCTCAAAAAAAGAGATATACAATTTATCCCCTCAATAAACTGCTACTTGACTAGTATTCTAAATACTACTTGAGTAGTATTCTATCCTGTTTTATACTTTTATATTACAGTAATGCTTTTCTACCACATAATCAAAATTATTTTAAATTATTTTAACACAAAAATAAAAAAAGAGGGAACATAAAACTCCAAGCAAGCATATTTCTATATTCTAATAATGAGGGCAGATAGTACTATTAAAAAAATACCCTAAAATTCTTTATATTTTAAAAGTTTCTAGCAAAAGTACCTGTCATAAAAATTGCAAAAGGGAAAATAAAGTTATGAGCAGAGAATTCTTCAAATGACATGTGAAAAATAATAACAAAAAGTTATGTATTAGAGAAATAAAAGTCCCAAGCATGTGACAAACATGTGATAAACATAAAAATTCTAAAAGCAATCTAAATCATACACCTCCTCATACCAGAAAGGCACTACCATGAATCCCAAAATGTATCTGAATAAGGTAGGTCTGTAGATGGAGGTTAAAAAATAACTTGGGAGTATTTTGATCACTTACTCAGGCCTTTTGATCCCATGTCGTCAGGGATCTCCTGTAGAGAGTAGTCCCCAGAGAGCAAGCAATAAAAAGATAATCAAAGAAAATAGTTGTCAGTAATGCACAAAATTGGTGCTACAGTAAGAGACAGTTCCAAGACCATTACAGGTACATGTATCTTACAGAGCATTTTTACAGATTTCTAGAACTTTGAAATGAGCTAGCTACTAACTATAATCTACCAAAAGAATGTAAGTTCTAGCATGAAGGCTGATTCAGGTAAAGAAGCAAAATTTTAGAACATTTCTTGCTATTTTAAAAGTAAAATCCAGATTGTCTACATATCATGAAGAAAGAGGGTAAAATGGAATGACTCTAGATAATCCAGTATTGAAGACTAGCAATGTTATACTTAGAAATCAATAGGTAGCTTCTCAGTTATTTATGTTCTCCCTCTAAAATATTCTTTGAATGTATGAATGTTAAGTGTTTTTCATAAAAATCTTTCCTTCAAATAACTGCACTTATTTATACATACTTATATGTTCAAGTTATAAACATATAACTTAAAAATGTTGTTTGCTTTAAATTAAGAATTCCTAAGGTGCCAGAAAAAGACTGGCATATAAATTAATTTATATCTGTTAAGTTGCCCTTGAAGACGATTAACAACCTGTTGCAGCTCTTGAAACTGTCTCCATGGTAACAACCAACTGCAGGGCAGTAGGTCCCTCTACATTTTATTTTCAGTTGACCACTGGATCCACATACTTACGGTCAGCATCACTTGTTTCCTGCTCACTCTGGTCCTTGTTCTTGTAGAAGGGGAATTTTCGGGAAAAGAGGTTCTTTTTACGCTTGTCATTGAATGACTGCTGAAGAAGAGAAGGAGGGGCAAAACAAAGGGATGTCTACTGTCTGTGTGTACAAAGGCCCAGCCTAGCAGCTCTGTGGAAGCTGACTCCTATGACCACAGTGTGCAGTTTGTACATGAATTTTACTTTAATCTTATATAAAGTGAATTTCTACTTTTGTATAAATTCTAAGATTTTGCAACTGAAAATACTTAAGAATTTCAAAGAGCATAGCTCATTTATACCTAAAAATAAAAATGCTACTTGACAAAGGGAAATTGGATTAATTACTACTACAGTACAAACCAGCTAACATTTGTTTGTATTAATCCCTATGTTTCCAGAAAAATTTCCAAGAACTAAGTGCTCTACAGCAAAAGTTATTTAATGTTACTTTACTGCTCAACTACATTTTATTTATTAGGAAGTAATTTTCATTTTATTTTGGCCTGACCACAGTTATTTCTTTATCTCTTTTGGGGCTATGATGAACTAACGGAAAAGACATTATTTAAAAAGTAAACCAAAACGATTATGAGAAAGTTGTTAATGCTGAACATTTAAAAACAAATCGTTTTTTTTTCTTCCTGGAAGAGGATAAAAGGTAACTAAATGCTTATAAGCCAGAAAATGGGAAGAAAACTAAATCAATGATATCTCTTAGCCAAGCAAGAAGTCAGAAGTCTGATCAGCGTCAATGCTATCAGTACTGACTTATTTATTCTTAAGTTCTACTATACTTATCTATTTTTAAAAGTATATATAAATAAAATAGAACCACATCTAATCCACTGGCACCATGTCCTTCATCGGGAATAAAAAGTTTGGTGTCCACCAAAGCCACAAAGGCAGTTAAGATTCTAACAGTTTATACATAGTTGTAACATAGGAGTTGAGTAGCTGATCTGATGTCCCATATTGCACAGATGTTGGAAAAAAGTTATTTTTCCTTGAATGTCCCATTTGTGCATTCATTGATTTATGATTATGTAGCATAAGAGTGATAAGGCTATTAAAGAGAAATAGCTTCTTTTGTCATTTATCTGTCATAGGCATTTATGTTTTGAAGAATACAGGCTTACCTACCAGTGACAATAAGAATTACTATTTGTTGGAGGGGGAAGGGAAGAATAGAAAGAATAGAATTTTTTTGTGTTCTGATTTTCTGCATTTATACATATCTTAAGATGCTATATTATTTATTATTTTGAAGTACATTGACAAGACCAGTGTGTTATTGGCATCCCCTTATTTTAAGCATGTGATGCCAGGTGATTAAGGTGAAGTAGCCAGGTGTAGTGTCTCATATCTGTAATTCCAGTACTTTGGTAGGCTGAGGCAGGAGGGTCGCCTGAGGCCAGGAGTTCAAAACCAGCCTAGGCAACATGGCAAAACCCCATCTCAACAAAACAAAACAAACAAACAAAAAATTAGCTGGGAGTGGTGGTATGTGCCTGTAGTCCCAGCTGTTTGGAAGGTTGAGGCAGGAGGATCACTTAAACCCAGGAGTCTGAGGCTGCACTGAGCTATGATCATACCATTGCACTCCAACCTGGGTGACAGAGTGAGGCCTCATCTTTAAGAAAAAAAAAAAAAAGTAAAGTAGATTAAAGTGACTTTTAGCTCAAATTCTATGACTTGAGAAGACTTATTTTGATAAAGATCTTTATAAAAACAAGGTTAAACTTTCATTTTTACCTTTTCATATAATTAATTCAGGATTAATAAGTTCACAGTTCATTAGCCAAGCAGACTGTCTTGATTTCAATCTTAAAGTTTGAAGGCTCTGAGGAACTAGATAAAAGAGAACTCTAAGTAGAAGTTAAAAATTCAATTGAGAGAAAAAGTATTATGGAGAAGTCTGGGCTTATAACTATTTTATAAACTGTCAAGTAGCATTATTTAAATAAAAGTCTTTGCTTGAATTCAAATTTTAGAAAAGAGAAAGTGTCTTAGTAGAAAAAAATTATGGCAATCTAATTTAGGGAAAATCTAAATCTTTTCACTTGTAAGAATCAATGGTTTTGAATTTAGCAGTAATTTTTATAATATCTGATACAACTGATGTGTTTTTTATAAAAGTTTATTCATCCCTCTTACTGCATCTATAGTGGTCAGAGTCAGTTTCACAGCAAACAACCAAAAGAAACATGAAGTTTAAAATGTTTGATTCTTATTATCTTTGCAGTTAGCCAAAATGAGATATCATAAAGATATCATAATACAGGACAGAAAGAAATGCTTGTTAGTTAAGAAATGTATTAATTGTATCACATTTAATATCCTCCAGGTGAAGAACTTATTTAAAGTGAAAAAAATGCACAAGCAAATAAGACAAAAATGTGTAGGGTAAACACAAAACTGAAGCTTGCTACCTCCAGTTTCTCTGTATTTTCAATCGAAAGCACTACATTTAATACTTACTGTCATTAATGCAATATTGCAAGAGAGACAGTGTAATATAAGAATTGATAAAATATCACAAATTCATGATACATATACGATCTAAATATATAATTTCCACATGTAGTATTCCAAAACAGCCAAATGAATGTTAGACATGTTAATGAGAAACTAAAATGTTATAAATCTGTAGTAAAAATAAAGTCCACAAATCACTATGTAAGGAAAGGAGAAGGAGGAGTAGGAAATGGTATTATAGAAAGAAATGCAGTTCTGATCAATGGCAAGCGTATTTTTACCCCACTCAGTATCATGCATAGTTTTGGTGCTGTGTTAGAACACAGTGACTCTGAATAAAGTTGGTTACAGTCAACAAAAAGACTAAGATTTAAATACGTCGTTAATCCAGTTAACTTCTTACAGTATGAAAGGAAAGTTACAACATGCAACCTCTTTTTCAATTTACTGATGGTATATTGTACTAAATCATTTTTAAAGATATACATAAAACAAGCATAAAAAATTCACATTTTTCAAATCCTGAGCATTTACCTGGGATTTTTCCTCTAATACAAATTTCTATATTAATATTGCTTCAGATCACACTATATAATTTGGTATTTTTCTGAAAGCTACAAGTAAATTTTAAAGGAATTCAACTTTTGTGTGTGTGTGGTTTTCCCCAGGATTTTTTATTATTTGTATGCGGGCTCTGGGGTACATGTGCACATCCTGCAGGATTGTTGCATAGGTACATACATGCCATGGTGGTTTGCTGTCTCCATCCCCCCGCCCGTCGCCTACATCAGGCATTTCTCTGGGTGTTATCCCTTCCCAGGAATTTATCATTTCTAAAAAATTGAATGTAACATACAATTTACTCAGATTTAATTTCTTGGACCAAAGATACTTCTCATTTTTTAAATTTTAAACCTTTGAGTGCTTAGTGATACCAGAGAAGTACAGAGAGCAAATTTATTTGCTGAGTTAACATTCCACATTCATTTCAAATATGATCAAAAGACTTATAAAAATTTTGTTTTATGTTTAAAAAAAAAACAAACATAAAACAATGCTATAAATGGTATTTAACATAACATATATTCAGTTTGTTCTCTGGGCTTACTGCTAGAATATTCCATTGCAGAGAGTTCAGGATTATTAAGAATTACATTCATGATATAGGATGAAGCCTGTACCATCTTTCTCATCTACTGACAGCCCAAATATTTAGATGCAAGCAGAAGGATTTAAAGTGAAGGAAAAATAAATACACTTCTAAAATACATATGAAAGAATTGATATATTTCTTTCCTTTTTTTTTTTTTCCCCCCTCCCAGACAGGGTCTTACTCTATTACCCAGGCTGGAGAGCAGTGGCATGATCATGGCTCACTATAGCCTGGACCTCCTGGGCTGAGGCAATCCTTCCACCTTAGCCACCTGAGTAGCTGGGACGACAGATACAAGCCATCATACCTGGCTAATGTTTTATATATTTTTTTTAGAGATTGCGTCTTGCTATGCTGCCCAAGCTGGTATTGAACTCCTGGGCTCCAGTGATCCTCCTGCCTTGACCTCCCAAAGTGCTGGGATTACAGGAGTAAGCCATCTTGCCTAGCCTCGATATACATTTTTCTTTCTTTTTTTTTTTGAGACAGGATCTCCCTCTGTCACCCAGGTTGAAGTACAGATGTGCAATCATGGTTCGCTGCAGCTCTGACCTCCAGGGCTCAAGCAATTCTCTTGTCTCAGCCTCCCAAGTAGCTGAGACTACAGGCATGTGCCATCAAGCCTGGCTAATGGACATATTTCTTGATTATCTACAAACTTCTTCTCATGCATTTTACTGGCATTTTATTCCTGCCAAATAAAATTTCACATTGATTCCAGCATTTAAAACATGGGTTCTCTTAAGAAATAATAGCAGGAATAATGTGGGGAAAGAACAAAAAAATTTCCCAAAATCCATTTGTAATAACTTGTAAACTTAGATTATAATTTAGTTAGCATTTCTGAGATGCCTATTTTCTTAGAAGAGTCATTATCAAATTATCTGCTATGATTAACACTAGTAACACAAATTTCTTTTTCTTTTTTGAGATGGAGTCTCACTCTGTCGCCCAGGCTGGAGTGTAGTGGTATGATCTGGGCTCAATGCAATCTCCCGCTCCTGGGTTCCAGCAATTCTCCAGCCTCAGCCTCCCGAGTAGCTGGGATTACAGGCACCTGCCACCATGGCTGGATAATTTTTGTATTTTTGGTAGAGATGGGGTTTCGCCATGTTGGCCAGGCTGGTCTCAAACTCCTGACCTCAGCTGATCTGCCTGCCTTGGCTTCCCAAAGTGTTGGGATTACAGGAGTGAGCCACCATGTCCGGCCTAGTAACAAGAATTTTCTAATTGGAAATTGAATGAAGGTCAAATATATTTCATTTATAAAAATAAGCTTGGCCAAAAGTATACTGCTAGTAATGTATCAAATGACAGTTTTGATAATTTGGAAGGGTCTGTGAAATGGGTACTTTAACAAATGCTTACTTAAGCATCTACCATTGTAAAGCACCATGGCAAGAGCTGATCATGATTAATGCTTACAGCAAAATCCTTTTCATTTTAACAGTGTAGCTCAAACAGGAATTATGCAAATTATGCATTTACAGAAATAAGAGATGTCAAATACTCACCCCTTTATCTCTCGTTTTAGAATTGAATTTCACTGTTTTTAATCGGGCTCGTTCTTTCTTCTCAACTCTGTCAAAGTAAAGAATGCTATTTTTTAAACCAAACATATCTAGGAGTCTTACTAGAAATAACCAGAATTGATATCTTTATAACAGGCATTTTTATACTCTAAAACCTTTAGGAGCCATCTAGATTTGCATCCCCAAATTAGAATTGCTAAAAAATGAAATGAAGGGCTCAATTTATTATGAAGCAAAGCCTGATGCTATAAAGTATCAATACATAGTACGTGTGTGTGTGTGTGTGTGTGTGTGTGTCTATATATATATATTCAGTTACAAAATTATATGAAAGTATGAGGCACCATTTCTGAGTTTAACAATTTTCCAAGTTTTGTTTTTTGAGTATTAGCTTAGCATGAAGGAAACAGGCTAAAAATTAAGCTTGAGGAAGAGAAAGCAAATGTGGCAAATTGTTAAAAATTGGTGAAAGTGGGAGAAGGATATGTGAGAAGGATATATAGAGGTCCACTATACTACTTACTGCCTTTTTTGTACTTACTTTTCTATAGCTCTGAAATTTTTAATAATAAAAAGGTGGGAAATTAAAAACTTAAGCCAGAATTAGAATTAAATGACATTAGAATTAAATGACACGTGTGTGTGTGTGTGTGTGTGTGTGTGTGTGTGTGTGTGTGTGAATATATAAATAACTAGTTACAGTGTATAAGAATTTTAAAGTATTTTTGGAAGGATACATAAGAACTGTTAATCTTTACCCCTATGGAGGTGAGATGGGTGTTGTGAGAGGGAGCCTGTAAAGCTTTTACATCTTTAAAATTCTGAACTTTACCTATTCAAAATAAGCAAGCAAATAAACTACAATGAAACAAATTTTCATGTAGACTGTAACACTAATGTAAATCTTGCAAAATTTCATGTAAATTAAGCTTTCATAAATTCTTGAATTTCAACATAGCAATTACGTTAGTATATAACAGAAAAGCCTACCAAAACAAGCCTATGAATAAATGCATTTTACTTTTTCCTTATCATCTCTGTATTCAGTTTTACTATGGGTACAACAGGACCTTAGCACTCATGAATTTAAATTTTGAATCTAAGGCCAGGCGCAGTGCCTCACGCCTATAATCCCAGCATTTTGGGAGGCCGAAGTGGGGGATCATGAGGTCAGAAGTTCAAGACCAGCCTGGCCAACATGATGAAACCCCATCTCTACTAAAAATACAAAAATTAGCTGGGCATGGTGGTGGGTGCCTGTAAACCCAGCTACTCTGGAGGCTGAGGCAGAAGAATTGCTCGAGCCCGGTAGACAGAGGTTGCAGTGAGGCGAGATCACACCACTGCACTCTAGCCTGGGTGACAGAGCAAGAATCCATCCCCCCCCAAAAAAATAAATAAAACTCATGATTTTTACTATTTGAGAACAATTCTGAGGCTCCATGACATGACTAATTTATAACCTTGCCTAGGTACATATCAATAGCACCACAAAACTAGTATTTGGTGAGTGAGCATTTACAACTCAACTTTGTTTTCTAGTCATTATCTTGTTTAGTGTAGTTCAGCAACTTAAATTGTCTGTATTTGTAAATATTATTCCTGAAACAAAGCCAAGAATTGTAGGAATTACAATTCCTGTTATTTTAGAAGAGGTCTAAGAAAGATAGTTCTGTTTAAGAAAATGTACATTCAAGAACTAATGGCATAATTAGTTGTGGTTTCTTATTGTATTTTATGAGAGTAAGATTATATTCTGCAATGCTACTCATGAATTTGGAAATTGGCAGAGGTCTCAAGATATCTCTCTTACATTATTTCTTGCTTTAAAACACAATCTTATAGAATTTTGTACAAAATGAAAAAAAAAAATCTCTCCAATGGAGCCAGCAGTGTTTATTACTGGGTGTGGGCACAAAAAGCCTTTGCAAGGTATGAGACTCTAAGTACTAAGACAATTTTGAGGAGCTCTGACCTTGATATTTAAGATGTAAAGTTTCTACTGACTCAACAAGGCATAGAGGAAGCATTTCCAAATTTAAAGCAGACTATGTTCTATTTCTGGAAAAAAGTTATGCTGATTGCTGCATTGCTAAAAGAGGATTTGCCATCAACTGGAAGATCTAGCCAAATAGTTGGATCATGCTAAATATATGGATCTAAGCCCCAAAATCATAATTATAAATCTTGATTGTAATTTAATACTACTACTTTTAAACTTCTAAAAACAAGTAAATAAATATTTATAAAGGTCTAGAAATAGTTACAAAATAGGTATAAATCCAACTAATTAATAAGAAAACAAGTTTATGACAGCATAATCTTGACTTAAAATGAACTAGTTGTAATAAATATTTCTTTATTATCTCATTAACTATTTTTGCTGGTTATCTTACTACTTTAGAAAGCTCTTAAAGAAGAACTTCTAGACAATGATTTGGATGAACCAGATCTCATAAATAAGCTATCTTGGGGGAATTATGAAAGGACATTTTAATACCTTTCCCACGAAAATAGAGACATTCAACAGCACTTCATAGTCCTCAGGAGGGGTTCTCTAAGCTGGGACCATCCTTTGCGAAGAGAGCCTGTACTTAACCACTTTTCCTATATGGTAAGTATGCACCAATGAATCACTAAAACAAATCATTAGGGCTGGGTGCAGTCGCTCACACCTGTAATCCCAGAGCTGGGGGAGGCTGAGGTGAGGAAATCACTTGAGGCCAGGAGTTTACGACTTGCCTGGGCAACATACCTAGAACCCATCTCTACAAAAACAAAAAACTTAGCTTGGGTGTAGTCACATGCATGCACCTGTAGTCTTAGCTACTAGGTGAGGTGGGAGGATAACTTGCGCCCAGGAGTCTGAGGTTCATTGAGCTATGATCATGTCACTGCACTCCAGCCTGGGCGACGGAGCAAGATCCTGTCTCTTAAAAAAAAAAAAAATCAATCAATCTACCTACCTATATATAATCATTAAAAGCAAAGAGGAAAGACTGGTGAACTGTACCAATACATGTAATTTAAGCAAGTATAAAGGGAAGTGAAGCATATTACCAGATATTTCCAAAAATTTTGGCATGAAAGAAGCAATTCACCAAAAACAAAAAATTTAGGTCCTCTTATCCAGCTACATGAACTATAGACACTTTCAGTTTTCTCTTCACTGTTACACCTAAATGGCACGCTGACTTAATATATACTTGTTTTCAGCAACTAGTAGCTTTAGATAAATTACTGCTTGGCGGCATCATATATATACACACATATATATGTGTTTATACGTATGGGCATATATATACACATGTATGTATATATTTTTCATTACACAAAATTTTTTATTTATTTATATATACATTATATACATTTATATATTTAGTTATACAAAAATATTATTTATTTACATATACATTTATTATTTATTTATATATACACATTATATACATATATTTTTGAGTCTGAGTCTCGTTCTGTAGCCCAGGCTGGAGTGCAATGGCGTGATCTTGACTCACTGCAACTTCTGCATCCTGGTTCAAGCAATTCTCCTGCCTCAGCCTCCTGAGTAGCCGGGACTACAGGTGTACACCTCCATGCCCAGCTAATTTTTGTATTTTTAGTAGAGACAGGATTTCACCATGTTGGCCAGTCTGGTTTGAACTCCTAACCTCAGGCGATCAACCCACCTCAGCCTCCCAAAGTGCTGGGATTATAAGCATGAGCCACCGTGCTCAGCCTAATTGTATATATTTAAGTTGCACAACTTAATGATCACACACACACACACACACGCAAGTGAAATAATCACTAGTCAACCTAATTAACATATCCATTACCTCACCTGGTTACCTTTTTTCCTGGTGGTAGGAAAACTTAGGATAGACCCTCTTAGCAAATTTCAAGTATAGTACTATTACCTATAGTCGCCATGCTTATATGTAGGAGATCCAGAACTTTCTCATCTTGTATTATGAACACTTTGTATCTCTCCATTTCCCTATCCTCCTAACCTGGTAATCACCATTCTACTCTCTGTATGACTTTGACTACTTTAGATTTCACATAGAAATGTGATCATACTAATTTTTGTCCCTCTGTGTCTGGCTTTTTCAAAATTAGCATAAGGTACTCCAGGTCCATCTATGTTGCCATAAATTAAAAGAAATTTTAAAGAACATCAATTATTTATGTTGTATCACATTGAAGTGGTTAAGAAAAACAGACATACCTGCGTTTACTGGGAATCACTCCAACTTCATCACTCTCACCATCTGGTGTAACCTGCCTGGCTTGCCACCATTCGTCATCAGAAGCATTAATAACATGGAGGATATCTCCAAATTTGAAGTTCAATCCCTGACTGGGAAGGCCACTGTCTTTAGTCTTGTCATAATCAAAAAGGGCTCTAGAGTCAGAAGAAAAAAGTCCTTAATTACTTGTTATAATATTAATGTATCATAGGGTCCTGAAAGTACATAAAGTATATGTAAATAAACATACAGTTCTGAAAGTATATGTAATTTGGATAATCAAATATACCATAGTAGGCCAAATAATGCCTAGTTGAATTCTGCACTACATGCAAGATGAGACAAAAAGAAACAGCAAAATCAACTTGTGATGAAAATACTGTATTACATTATCTGTTTCTTTCAATATCACAAGAAAAATTTAAAAAATACTCTTGGATTGTAATCTAATGGCAACCTAAACTGAATTCTAAAATGAAGACAAATCCAGAGAGTTTGAAATTAATAAACAAAAGTATTAAGATATAGTCTTCGTTTTAATTAGATACACATAGGAAAACAAATTCCCTGATAAATTTATCCCTTAGTTGTGGACTGTAAGACTAGATCAATATAGCGATTATTTTGCCAGTTAATTATTCCATTAGTTTACAATACTAGAGTTGATAGTTTCAGACTCAACAACAATGATGAAAACTAACTATAGATGACTTCATCAGATGACAAATATTTTGGTAAAAGTAATAATTTAATATGGTAATTGCAAAGTGTTAAGAATATTTTAAAGTCTGATAAAAATATTGTGTCCTACCAAGTGATTAATGTACAATATTTAGATAAATCAAATTCTTAAGTCCAAATAAGCTCTCTCAAGAGTATAAGAAAGGATCACAACAATTACATTTATAACATAATTTATTCATTCTTTCGTTCTAATTTGGCAACTGGAAATTAGGATGCAAATTATAATCTTTTTCACACTACCTAACATTTAAGAACCTATCTATTGAAGTAAAACTCAAGAGGGGTGGAATTACTTGATGGCTAAATAAATAAACTAGTAGTTAATGGTTTTTCAAATGAGTTGTTTCAAGTTCTTTCAGGGGCTAAAGGTGTTAGGGAAGGAAGGGGAATCAAAAGTAGGAAGGCTCACTTAAACATACATTCAACATAGAGAAGATGAGGGTACAAATAAACATAATATAAAATAGAAAATAAAGCACCTTTAGAGACAGTACAAATGTCAAGACATTCAGAAAAGGAGAATACTTTCTTACATCATTATAAAAATTCAACTTTTGAATCACAAAATATAACTGTATTATTGCACAACAAAGGAAAAGAAACCACCCACAATCTCTTATGTTAGCATTTTAATATTCTCTGTTAATATATTTGATTCATAAAAAAGAAACCATGGAAAAATGTGAGTTATTAATCACATGTATTATAAGAGTGCAATGCACATCTGCTAACCCACTATCATACTTAAGACTACCCACAAAACCTTTATCAGTAATTTACCTTCACCTGCATATACTCCCTCTGATCCTGATTCCCTTGGATCAAGAGTTAACCACTATCAGAATGTAATCATTGTTCTTACAGTACAATGTTTGTTATTTCTTTGACTCATTCTTTTTTTAATTGGTTTGGTTTTATCATATAATATGTGAGTGACTAAACAATATAATGTATGATTTTACTTGTTTCAGAGTTTTATAAAGAGGTATACTGTGGGTAGTTTTTTGTAGTCTTTTTTTTTTTTTTGCTTTTGAAATTAAAAATACAATGACTAAAAAAACCCCACAAGACTCAGGTGTGGTGGTGTGTGCCTCTAGTTCCAGCTACTTGGGAGGTTGAGGTGTGAGGATCCTTTGAGCCCAGGAGTTCAAGACAAGCCTAGCCAACAAAGCAAGACCCCATCTCAAAAAGAACTGCAAGACTTCTGATTAACCATAGCAGATTGTGTCTATTTCCTTTCCAACCTGACTCATTAAAATGACAATAAGAAAAATACAAAAGAGAGAAGACAACAGGAGAAGAGAGATTTTGCTGTGTTTTTGGATGATGCTAATTAAATTTAGCAGAATGAAAGAAGCTATAAATGGAGTGTCAGCAGAGAGGGTAATAGAAACAAGTTTTATTCCACAAGAACCCTGAAAATGGTCATAAATTAGAAGTGTACAGTAGTACCAAGGTAGGCAGGGATAAGTTACTGTACTAAAAACAGAAGTTCAAACACTGTATATAGCACTTAGAACACCCCCACCAAAGTTCCTTTTCCCATTCCCAAACCCACAGAAGACCAGAGGTTTAGTCTCCAGATAAACTGAATTTGAAGAGATGTATACTCTGAAACTTGGTGGAGAAGGGGAAGTGGCTGGACTGAAATGGATGAAAAGGACAATTCGAATACCGAAAATGGAAATTCTAGCAACTTGGTTTATACTATTGGCAGCAGATTAGGGATTCTCATCTAGTGATATTTATACCAAAGAACAGAATCACGTGGGACAGTAGAGGAAATGTAAGAGCCAATTTATCCCCTACTTTACCCCATTATCTTCTGGTTAAATCCATTACCTTCATTTCTCTATTTATAAGAATGTAAAACAATGAAAGGAACACTGGATATTTAAAGAATGCCTTATATAAAACACTAAAGAAAAAAACCCAAGAAAACAGGATAGCTCAAAAAAGAAAACAGAGAAAGCAAAGCATATAAAAAACAGAAGAAAATCCAAGAGATACATGAGATATATCCACAAAAGAAACAGAAGATGAGGGAGCTCTTGGAAAATAAAACGGGTTATCATACATTCCCACACATTCCAAATTCTCTACTGGAGGGAAGGCAAAATAAAGTCATTTCAGACATGCTAAGACTCACAAGGTACCTCCCACACATATTTTTGCAGGAATTTACTGTAGGATGTGCTCTAGGAAGACTGAGAAAGAAGAAAATGTGGCATCTAGGAAACATGTGACATAGTAGACAGCGAAAGGGAACAGAATAATGGCAAAGGGAAGTCCCAGTTGAGAGCTATACAGCAAGTTTACAGAGCAACTAGTCTAGACTGGAGCAGAAAAATGGAAAAAACCTGAACTGAAAGACTGTATGTGTGACCACGTTTTCATCATGTGAAAAACTCTACAGTGGTTACTGGAAGATATGGAAAGATACTTAGTAGTAAGCATGTGGAAAATTAAATAAAAGGTGAGACAATTATTAAGTCCAGGAAAAATGAAGGTTTGCAGAAGAAAGAAAGTAGCTCATACGGTACTACCCGACTGAGTCATGAAAGCTATTACATAGTCACATGACTCTAAAGTCTACTAGTTTTATTAGCAGAGATAGGCTATGCTTGGGTAATGATGATGAGACTGAATGAGTGGTTTGGTATTTATTACAGAGAAAAATTATCATCTACCATGGTAGTAAGACTGATGTACAAAACCGGTAAAGTAGAAGATAGCAGTATATGCATGTTATTTAGAAATATGGAGGTGAAGGCTTCATATTTAGAAACAAGGAGGTAAAGGAAGTTTGCTAGGAAAATAGAGAATGCTTGTTTCTGGAGAATGAAACTACAGGCTGGTACAGGTGACAGTTTTCATTATATGCCTTTTGATAATATATGATTTTAAAAAATATATGATTTTTAAAAAATCATGAGGCTGGGCACAGTAGCTCATGCCTATAATCCTAGCACTTTGAGAGGTCAAGGTGGATGAGGCCCTTAAGCTCAAGAGTTTGAGGCCAGCCTGGCCAACACGGCAAAACCCTGTCTCCACTACAAATACAAAAATTAGCCGGGCATGGTGGCACAAGCCTACAGTCCTAGCTACTCAGAAGGCTAAGGCAGGAGGATCGCTTGAACCGGGGAGGTTAAGGCTACAGTGAGCTGAGACCACACCACTGCACTGTAGGCTGGATGATGAGTGAGACCCCATCTTCAAAAAAAAAAAAGGAAGGAAATAGAGCATTATTTCTCTAAAAATGATAAAAAGTGAAGATGATTTGCTAAATGTACCTAAAATAAATATAACCTAATATGTTTTGATTTATATGCCTTTGTAAATATTTAATCAAGTACAAATAAAAGGCAACACATGAATTATATTAAAAATAGGAAATGTGGATAAGCAAAAAGGAAGAAAATTTAAAAAAGAGAGTATAAAAATCTATGTAGTTTTCCTTCTTTGAAGTATTTGTATATATAATATACTTTTAATGACCTTGGAATATAAGAGTTTAATAAGTACTGCTAGAATTAGCAAAAGGAGAAAAAAATCTGATGCATTTAAGATTCCCACATCATTGGTAGGGTTTTAAGTAGCAAACAACTTATAGCAAAAGACAAAAGGGATAGAAAGAAGAAAAGTGAGAAAAGTTTCTTTCATGATGTATCACACAGTAAGATCGATTATGAGAAGACAGTAAGTCATATGACATGTAAACAAGTACAGAGTACATGTTTGTGTATAGAGATATACAGGTGTATAGGATACATGTCTATATGCGTAACATATATCTCTCATCAGAAGGATAAATGAAACATATTAAGAACAGGTCACCCAACAGTATCAGGAAGAATGAGATAATAATTTATAAAAAATGGTTCAGATTACTTACAGTGCTGTTACAATAACAGTATAATAAAGTCATCAAAGCTCTACTAAAAGTATACAGAATACAAATAAATTCAGATTTCTGCTTAATGTCTTATGAGCTAACAAAATGGAAAAACCCAGTTTATATACTAATGGCATCCACTTATTAGATCTATGTTGCCACTTAACCTTTATGCATTATAGAAAATTAACATATTTGCCTTCTCTCAAGTGTTTAAAAATAAAGTGTGTAGAAATTTTCTGAATATGCATTATTTACTGAGGCTATTCACATTTTAAACTATTATTTACATATGCTTTCTTTGTTACTATGGAAATTGCCAAGGTAATTAAATGTTACTTGAATGGAAAATATATTAGAAAGGGATACAGGTTAAATCTAAGTATTAGATATAATAGTATCAAGCCTGTAGTCGCTATTAACATATCAATCTAAAAACAATTTCTGGTCCACGGAAATTTCTTTCTTTATCCTATAATTATTATTCAAGGATTATATAACTTCCATTAATAAAATTATTAATACAATAATATTTCAATTCTTGAAAGACGCACTGTCAGAGAATCAATATGGAAAAACAACACTGATTCGCAATATATTTTCTTATGGTAAAACTAAGTAAGTTATGGTGAAAAATACAAAAGAATTTACATGCATAACTAATTAAGAGTTGCCATAATTAGAAGTAAAAAAAATTTACCTGACATAGAGGGATCGCTTCTGGCTAGTTCGAAGAGAACCTGACCCTGAACTAATACTACTATTCATCATCTGCTCCCGTAAATCATGTATTTTAGCTTCAAAACGACTGTATTCTGATGGAAGAGAAAGAGAAATAAATTTATAGATTTTCAAATAATAAGTTATTTGACGATAATGTGTTAAATACACAAACTGTCCTCTAATTGATTAAATGTGGTTAGAACCTTAATACAGTAATATGCATAAAATGTTGTCCAACACACAAATATCAAAAACAATTATTAATAACCTAAATGTACCATAAATTACAATTGGCTGGGCTAGAATTTTTTTATGTGCTCTTTTAAAGTTTATACCACATTTAATCAATTAAATGACAATTTCCAAGCAGCAGACAGCAACAATCTTATATTACTGTTGAATTTAAGTGTAAATTTTAAAATCAGGATTTATTCTAATTTTTATATTAAAAGAAATCTATAATAATAATTAATACACTAGATGCTTTAATTATTGGCTTTTTCCCCTTGAGACAATCAGTTCATTTTACATACTTAGATACAGAGCTTGTGCAGGGTCAACATTAAAGGGAAAAATATGCCTTAACAACTGATAAATGAAATTTATTTTAACTCATTTTATAATTTATAAATTGTCAAAATTCAAGAAACAAAAGCAGTCTGAAGAGACATTCATGAATATTTTCATTTAAAATACTTTTTATACAAAAATATGATTTTGAAGATGGACTATTTTAAACTATATATTTAAAACTATTAAGTCTATTAATAACCTGTTAACAAAAGTTTAAGCACTTTTTCAAAAATATTGCAGTAACATGGTTATAAACATGTTTTTTTTTTAACCCCCTATGTATAACAAACAAATTGCAGACAATTAGGTCATATCAAATCTGAGTTTCTTATAAAGCCTGTCTTGTAACAAACAACTTCCCTGGGAGTTTGTATAGGTTAAGATGACAGAGTAAGAGTAAGCATGATTACTGCTGAGTTACTCTTACTTTTACCATAATCCTCAAGTTTGTTTTATGGATAATAAGCTCAACTGAAGCAACAATTCATCAAAAAGCTTAGAAACATTTAAAATTCCACATTAATAGCTAATAAAATACTATCCTTTCAAAAATATAATAAAACAGAATAAAAACACAAATAGCCTTAATAGTGGAATGTATCCATTGTAATTCAATAATTATCAATCCATGGCAACTTGTCTTTAGTATGTGTAGACATAGTTAAACTACAGATTGATGGAGATGTTAATAAAAATACGTAAGTACATCATAAGTTTAGAAAAACTAGGACCACTGGGTTTTTGCTTAATCTCTTCTATTTCAGCCTTGGATCTGCTTTGTTGGATATGAGTAACTCTGGTTCTCAAGATAGTGGTGATAGCAGAATAAAAGTATCACATAATGACTTACTTGTTTTATCCAATATTACATTAGCAACAGTGAATTATACCACCAACACTACCACTATGATATCATGTTTTGATCACTGTAAACAGTTAACTATTTCATGTAGTTTTTTATCCTTAGGCTATGGCTAGAGATATACAGTTGAATTATTTTTTTCTTATTTTTAAAGACAGGGTCCTGCTCTGTTGCCCAGACTGGACTGCAGTGGCACAATCATAGTTCACTGCAGCCTTGAGCTCCTGGGCTCAAGCAATCCCGCCTCAGCCTTCCAAGTAGCTGAGACCACAGTGCGCACTAACATGCCTGGCTAATTTTTAAAGAATATTTTTGGTACAGATGACATCTTGCTATGTTGTCCAGACTAGTCTCAAACTCCTGGCCTCAAGCAATCCTCTGGCTATGGCCTCTCACAGCCCTGGGGTCACAGATGTGAGCCACTGTAACGTGGCCAATTACCATTTTAAAATTACTTGGAATAGTTCCTCCCTAAGTATTACTGTTGCCAAGTGGATACACATTTAGATTCGTTTGTACTCTATTTTCAACTTCAATTTGCCTTTAAAATTTTTCAATGATTTTATAAGTAGGTAAAATAACTCCACAGTCAAATCTATAAAACACAGATATTTAAAAAGTCCAGCTTCTATCCCTTTTTCTCATCCTATTCTGTCCTGATCCTTATATGTAAACATTAAAAGAAAGGCTTATTTTTCCATTTTTAACAATATAAAGATATACACAAACATGCAAATATATTTATTCTCTATTTTTATATCTGTATATATATGTATATATATACACACAAACAGACACACGTCTTTTCTTTTCTTTTTTGAGACAGAGTCTTGCTCTGTTGCCAGGCTGGAGTATAGCGGTGTGATCTCAGCTCACTGCAATCTGCGCCTCCTGGGTTCAAGTGATTCTCCTGGACTACTGGCGCACGCCACCATGCCCAGCTAATTTTTGTATTTTTAGTAGAGATGAGGTTTCACCATGTTGGCCAGGATGGTCTTGAACTCCTGATCTTGTGGTCTGCCTGCCTCAGCCTCCTAAAGTGCTGGGATTACAGATGTGTGCCACTGCGCCTGGCCAACATTTCTCTCCTTTCTTAAAGCAGTAGAATACATATTTCTCTGCTTTGCTTTTTTTACTTAACAGTAAGTATATCCAGAATACCACTGCACAATAATACATACAGATGTCATCCATGCTTTTTTTTCTTTTTCTTTTTTTTTTTTTTTTACAGCTGTATGTAGTCCTTTGTTTTTAACCTTTACTTCTTTGTCATAGGTATGATTCATATATATTGCATAGGGTTAAATTATGCTTTATTAGGAAGCCTAGAAATAGTATGCTTTGATGAGCTAACATTTGAAATGATTCAAATTGTTTAATCTCAGTTCTATTCTTACTATCCTGTCTTATTTATTCAAGCTTTTAACATAAATAAACCAGTGACAGATTATATTTTTCAAAGATGCCCACATCCCACATGCTCTTGTACACTGTGACCTTGCCATTTCCTCATCAAGAGTAGAATCTAATTTCCCTCTCCTTGAATTTGGGTTAGTGCTTTGAGTCATTTGTATACCAGAAAATGTGAAGTAATCCTGTGTGACTTTCAAAGTCAAATTAGAAGAGTCTATGAAGCTTCCGTAACACTTCTGTAATGCTTGTTCAGATACCATGTAACAAGACTAACTACTCTAAAACCACCCTACTGCAGAGGTCACATGATGGTGCTCTGAGCCCAAACTTCCAGCCAGCACCACCAAAGCATAAGGCAAAGGGAGCAAAGCCAAACTGGGCCCTCCAAAGTAGCTCATTCACCACCTAAGTCCCACTAAGTGGCCTCAGTTGATGCCAGAAGGAAAACAAGAACCATCTCGCCAAAATCCTGCCTGAATTCCTAACCTACAAAATCTATTAAAAGGGTGTTATAATCTGTTAAGCTTGAGGTAGTATCTTATGAAGCAATAAACTGGAGCACAGTCTCACTATATGGTTTATTTGTTCTTTTAAGTGTGTGTACATAAAAATTCAGACACATTTGTCCTTTTGTTCTAATGTCAAACTTTTGGTTGGCTTTTGTCTTTTGGTCTCCTCCTACAAGCAATCATCCCAGATCTGATTGGAAATATTATCCTTTTATATCCAATTAAAAACTTTAAAGCAATCAGGAAGCTTATTCTGTTTTCATATTATCTTCAAATTCTGCCCCCATTTTCTAATAACTGTACCTTATCAAAATTGTCAGACCACATAGCCTTTTCATATTATACACTCTCTTCCTTATAATCATCTTCATTAATGCTAACACTAGTCCTTATGTCAGTATCACTCCTCCTATTTATTTTGGATGTCTGAAGTTTGTTCTTTCTCCCCAGGAAGTGTTTATACAAACATTATCACTCTAATTCTTTGTCGATACATTTGATTCTAGTCTTTATATGTGAAAGTCTGTTTGATTCAGTTTCTTTCTTTGATTCTTTGAATATGTTCACTCCACTGTCTTCTATAAATTGAGAACAACCGAATTTTCTTTAGTTTTTTTTTGTTGGGGAGGGGGAGTGGAATTCCAGAGATTTTTTTTTCCCGTCAAATTCTAATAATTTTATTATGGCATTTTGCTCTGTAGTTTGAAACAACTTTTTAAAATTTTAGAACAGATTTCATTTATGTATTTTTCTAGCATTATTTTGGATTTCTTCCTAGGAGACTCCCATTATGTGCATGTTGAATATTCTTTGCCTACCTTAATCTTTTGTTTCTTTCTTCTAATTTTTTTTTAAAGACTAAAGCAGTCACAAACTGTTTTTCCTGAACCATCTGACAAGCAATTTGCCTTCTTGATGTCTCATCACCTCTAAATACTTCAGTATTTCCTACAGATATTTTCCTATATAACTACAAAACCATCAAAATCAAAGAAACATTAATACATTACTACCATCTAATGCTCAGATCCCAATGAAGAGTCACCAATAATGTTCTTTATAGAAAAAGGATGCAATTCAAAATCATTTGTTGCATTTAGTTGTCATATCTTTTTAGTCTCTTTGAGTCACAGCAGTTTCTCAGTCTTTCCTTGACTTTGTGATCTTAATACTGTTAGAGATCACAAGTCAATTGTTTTGTAGAACATCTCAATTTGGGTTTGCCTTAAGTTTCCATACAATTAAATTGAGGTTATCCAACTATGGCAGGAATATCACAGACATTATGTTCTCCCCAATACACCTGTATCAGGTGGTACACAATTTTGATTTGTCCCACACCAACGTTATTAACCTTAATCACTTGATTAAAGTGGTGTCTGCCAGGTTTCTCCACTGTAAAGTTACTTTCCCCTTTTGCAAATAAGTTACTCAAACTATTTACAATTCTCCATTCTCATCAAACTTTCAATTAATTCATTTACTTATATTAGTAAAAACTCATTTCCTACTTTATTCAGTGGGTTATAATCAGCCATTATTATCACCAATTAAATGCTGAAATTGTTCCTGATTTGGCCAGTAAGAGTCCCTTAAAGTTAGATTCTGTGTCCATTTGCCGTGTCTCCATCATTCCTTGAGTACTTTCTTGCTTTCTGGCAGAGGATATTACAGAGCAATCTAGCATTTTCTTTGCCTGACTCCTGGGGAATCTGCCATTTGACAAAAAAGCCTT